AAAGTCCCTTACAAGAGCAGCAGCAGGGGACAGACCCAGAGCAAGTAAGGCAGCAGCTTGGCACTCCTTGGGAAGCTGAAGAAACAAAGGCAGAGGAAGAATTTGAGTGTTCCAGGAAAGAAATCAAACCCCAAGTTTATAAGATCAACCCTGCTCTCTATGCCCTTAAGTATATTTAATTATTTATAAGAGAAGCTCTGGCATGGGAGATGATCAGGAAGAAGTGAGACTCAATCCTTTTCCTTCTGCAGTCCAGGGGAGTGCCTTCCCAGCAGGGATACTCCCTTTCACCCTCATCCTTGATTTATGAACATTTTATCAAAATGGTATTTCCCCAAAGAGGTTTGCTTGGGGAGGAGGGGGAGAGGGGAAGAGTATCACCCTCCATCAGAAGCTTCTGAAATAAAACTCTAGTCAGCTCTAGTAATTACACTGGCAGAACTGTATCAATAAATCATTCCACATGAGCTGTAGTTCGAGTTGTTTTAAGTACGAAACGACCAATAGTTCAAAAAAAGAAATAAAAGTCCACCTCTGCCTGCCACAAACCAAGTGGATGACTTAAGGGTGGGAGACAGGCACTGTCTTCCATGGGCAGTGAGGGCTGCTGGGAAAGCTCCTGGTGCAAGGCAAATGCTGATGTGCCATTGCAGGAACTGCGCCTCCATCCTGGCACACTCCAAAGGTCAGCAAGTGCCGGAAACCACCACCCACAAATTCCTGCATTTCCTCACTTCTGGTGTCTTCTGAAAAAGAGGTTTGCTGGTTTGTTTGTTTTTTTAAGCACTCTCACAAAACTCTGCAGCTCATCATTGCTGGTGTTTAAATCCTTCATGAGCATTTAATGCCAGCAGAATGGCACTGGAACCAATTCCACTCTCTCTGAAACACTTCGCTTAGATTTCAGTACTGTTCAAAACACTGCAAGTAATGAAAATAAAGTATTATGCTGGGGACAGGACATGCACGGACAACCCTTTAAAAAGCTTTTTCCAGACATACAAAACCCTTTTACTATGTGTACAGAAATAAACACTTCAGTATGAAAGAAAATTTGAGGCTACCTCAACAATACTAATTGGTTTTCAGTGCTGTTTACAGGAGAGCTGCTGCAGCCAACACAAAGTTGCATGAGCAAACATTAGAAAAATATATATGACACTCAGGAGAAATTAATGAGAGAAGTCTGTTTACAAAAGCTGGCTCTCAATAGCTGGAAACTGTACAGTCTCAGTCGGCATTTCTCAGAAGAAAAACACAGAGAAGAACCCCAACAAACAAAATGCACACGAGGGAGTGTTAAGCAAGGACAAGCTAGACAGAGCCAGGGATACACTTCTTTGCTTACTGCCAGTAACCAAGAGAAATCACTGCTTTTTTAATTACACTTCTAAAAAGTCTAAACTAGCAGGCACCTATTAAATTCACAGCTTTCTGTTTCACATTTTAAACACCTTGCTATTTTTTTTAACTTTAGCACCTGTATTTCAAAGAGATTTCCTAGCTCTAGGCTTCAAATAAGCTATTTTCTATTTAAACTGTTACATGTTCCCTTGAATATAAAACCTTCTGCATTCTCCTAAGACCATGCACTATTATATTCGTTAGATTTATGAAATCCTTCAACAAAAGAGTCAACGTCATAAATGGATGAAATATCTCACCACCAAAGAAGCAGTACAACTGCCATTTTCAACACAGGATCTATTTTTCCCTTCAGACTTCATGTAGGTATATATGTATGTACAGAAGATAAAAATCAATCAGGGACTAGGGCTTAAGGCTGCACCAAGTCCTTAATGGTACAACATTAAGTTTGTAACAACTGTAAACATGAAATACAATAGCTGAGATGGTGCAATTAGTGATTATTTATGCAAAGAAAACAAAAGCAAAATGATGTATTTTACCAGCACTTTCACTGAGATCTAATCTGCTATCAGAGATTTCATTATGAGCTGCATTTCCCAAAGACTAGGCAATTTCAATACCACTATTGTTGAATGTCCAAAGCACTTACATTAGGCACTGGGAAGTTGCACAAATCATACAGTAACAAAACCAAAAAATAAAGCAAGTTTCCTGGCTTAGAAACCCTGACAGGTTAAGGAAAGGGAACTCTTGGCTTAACAAAAGTATAAACCAATCATGAATGGGGTATTCTGATATCTCAGCCCTAAGACAGAGCTCTGGTGCCGCCTGATTCCGATGCAAGTTTTGGCCCTGGCAGGGGCTAGGAACCCCAGTGTTCCCCCACGCAAACAATTCTACTTGTTCGCTGTCTGCAACTGCTCAATTAGACAAAAGGAAAAGCACCCTAGGCTGTTCTGGTTAAGAATTTAATGCCCATTATTTTTCTCTCTGATAAACTACCTCTACATTAGATCATTTTAAAGCTCTGAGCTTCAAGTCTAGGCATGAGATGTGGGTATCATACCCCATACTACAGCAGGAGGACATGTTTGAATGCTAGTGTTTATATCTAACATCAAGTGGTTCAAACAGATCAGTCCAATTCTGTACTCCAGCACTTGACCACCAGAGACCTGTCAAAACTATAACATCCATTTATTACCCGCATTCTCATATAGACAATATCTTAACGTTAATATCAGAGACAAACTTTTTGGAAAAGTAGTATCTAGGCTGGTTCTAATGCACCATTTTAACCCACATTTTAACTTCATTACATCTATGACTAGTCTTCAGCAGAGAGTAAACATGCTTTATTGCTTCCTAGAATTTAGCTTTAGGGTTCGGGAAAATCTCACAAAGTCAAGTTCTGAAACAAGACATCACCATGCAGTTTCTCACGTCTAATGGCAAGAAGTCCCTGTCCTGCCACAGCTGTAAGTTGTCATTGCTGTTTCCTACTTGCATCAGCCAACACAAATATGTGTGGAGCTGGATGCCTGAGGTAATCAAGGCTTTTAAAGAAGTTTCACAGTTTCACAGTATGCTAGAGACTGGAAGGGACCTCAAAAGATCATCTAGTCCAATCCCCCTGCCGGAGCAGGAACACCTAGATAATGTTACACAGGAATGTGTCCAGGCAGGTTTTGAATGTCTCCAGGGAAGGAGACTCCACAACCTCCCTGGGCAGCCTGTTCCAGTGTTCCGTCACCCTCACTGAGAAGAAGTTCCTTCTCAAGTTTAAGTGGAACCTCTTGTGTTCCAGTTTGCACCCATTACCCCTTGTCCTATCATTGTTTGCCACTGAGTAGAGCCTGGCTCCATCCTCGTGACACTCCCCCTTTATATATTTATAGACACTTATAAGGTCACCCCTCAGTCTCCTCTTCTCCAAACTATAGAGACCCAGCTCCCTCAGTCTTTCCTCATAAGGGAGATGCTCCACTCCCTTAATCATCTTCGTTGCCCTGCGCTGGACTCTCTCCAGCAGGTCCCTGTCCTTCTTGAACTGAGGGGCCCAGAACTGGACACAATATTCCATCCAGATGCGGTCTCACCAGGGCAGAGTAGAGGGGAAGGAGGACCTCTCTCGACCTACTAACCACCCCCCTTCTAATACACCCCAGGATGACATTGGCCTTCTTAGCCACAAGGGCACAGTGTTGGCTCATGGTCATCCTGTCGTCCACTAGGACCCCCAGGTCTCTCTCCCCTACACTGCTCCCCTACACTAACAGGTCGTTCCCCAACCTATACTGGAACCTGGGGTTGTTCCTGCCCAGATGCAGGACTCTACACTTTCCCTTGTTATATTTCATCCCGTTATTCCCTGCCCAACTCTCCAGCCTGTCCAGGTCTCGCTGGATGGCAGCACAGCCTTCTGGCGTGTCAGCCACTCCTCCCAGCTTAGTGTCATCAGCAAACTTGCTGATAGTACACTCAATTCCCTCATCTAAATCATTGATGAATATATTAAATAATACTGGTCCCAGTACTGGCCCTTGAGGCACTCCACTGGTTACAGGCCTCCAACTAGACTCCGCCCCATAGACTACAACTCTCTGGCTTCTCTCCTTAGCCAGTTCACAGTCCACCTCACTACCTGATCATCCAGACCACACTTCCTCAATTCAGCTGTGAGGATGCTGTGGGAGACTGTGTCAAATGCTTTCAAGTCTTACAAGGAACAGAAGGAATGGTACAGAAATGAGAGATTATTAAGCTGGCTTTGATGTCAAGAGAAGCCACACTGGACCATGTTCTTCTGCTACAGCAGAAAGATGAGTGAATACAAAAGTTAACCCATCACAGCTTCACCTCAGCAGCCTGAGGAATCAACAGGAAGTGCACAAGGACAGGCAGCAGCCTTCTGGAGTTGGGACTCTACCACACAGCTCTCCAGGGAAGGCCACGTCAGATCATTTCATGCGGCCTGCACTGTGAAACCACTGCAGTGTGGTGGCTGCCATCTGCACCAGCATGAGATATGTCTGCTTAGTTAGTGGAAGGTGCAGGTGGTAAATCTGAGGAGTTGCCACTGCACTTTTACACAAGACAACCTTCAGTAAGAGATACGGAATATAATCCTATAGGATTATATTTACAGAGAAAAAAAAACCTTGAATAATACTGAACTGAAACATACAAATAATTTGAACTAGAGATGTTAGTTGCAGTTATAAGCAATTAAAGCTACAGTGCAGAGTGACATTTTAGGATAAGCTTAAGTAGTTTGTTAACTTGAAGGTATCTTGCATGAAAAACTTGGGATGGGAGTGAAGACAAATAGCAGCTAAACTTTCGAATCCTATAATAAATGAAGACCTTGAACACAAAACAGCACAAAACACAGCTCACTGAAGTAGACTTGGTCAACTCGTACCACAAGCCGCTTTTTAAAGTTCTAGAAAACACCTCTGCAGTTTAATCACAGATCAATATACTTACCATTTGGGTACACACACAGGAGAGCTGGCATCGATTAGAATATGTCAGTATCCTTTACAAATACTATTGCAAAATTTATAAACTTAGCAGCCTTCGAAAGTAATAAAGCAAAAAATAGATTACACCAATTGCATACGTACATGAGCTGCTTGGCCGATAGTGAGCCCCTGGGTACCGCCTGCCCATAGTGCCAGTCAGCACATTACCGCACACTGTCAGCTGCTCCCAAAGCACAGATCGAAACGCTTAACTGGGGGAGAAGGGAAAAAAAAGTGAAGATTTAGTACAACAGCTGTATTTTTTTCATTAAAATGCTAATGACCCCTACAAATTTCAAGATAACTACATCTATAAATTATTCATAGTCATGTTGTCAGAGGAGATTAACAGTTGTGCTATACATACAGCATAAATTTATTATTAGTGGTTGGCCTCCATTAATAAGCTCACATAAATTTGAACGCACAAAGGAGTCTCAGGTCATACATTAGTTTTTTTGGCCCATGACACAGACAGAAAAACAAACACTTCAAGAAAGAGTTTGCTTTTGGTTTTAAATACAGTTGTAGGCAATAGGTGAGATTTAATAACGTCTTAAATTTTAAGACGCAACCACTAAGCAAGAAGTTTACGAATAATTTGCTACAGAAGCAAAACTTAACCCTGCTACATAACATTGATCAATTTGAACCTGTTCCTAAAAACCAAAGCATCTTTACACGAATACAGACTATTTATTAGTGTATCAGTTTTCTTGTAGCAGAAGTATCAAAACCCCAAGCAAACAAGAAAAGCATGGCACATCTTATGGTCAGTTTGGAATAACAAATCACAAATCCAAACTCTTAACTGAACTAGTACTGAACCTGTCAAAAAACTAGCATAAAATCTTGTAGTCTAAAAAAAAGTTCTTGTCTTCAGTGTAAGGTGTTTTGTGCTAAAATACAGCTTCCAGCTGATTTTCAGCTTTAACCTTTTGGGGAATAGCCTTCACGTGCCCAGATGTCTTCCAATATGCACGGCATGTCAAGCACACCAGTTATAAAAATACATTTCCTTTTATTTCATTCTTTCCCTGGCTGAAAGGGCCAAACCAGCAACAAATTCTGAAGAGTGCTTTTGCTAATTCATTAAGGATTTTTATTGTCTCTGGCTGTAGCTACAAGCACAAGCTTGTTCTATCCAAGAAATAGAGAGAGATATTAAGAGAGAGATGAAATAGAACTGCACTAAAACCTGGACGATTTCCACAGATCTTCAGATACATCAGGTCCCCAAGGGAGCAGAACATCAGCTAACTCCTGAATTAGAGAAGCTTTTTATATATATTGGCATCCATGCAGTTCTCCAGTGAGCTGGTCTGGGAGCCACACAGTTGAAAACTCCACATACAGATGTATTTTCAGCCAGATTAGGCTCCTGAACTGGTTTATGGTGGTTATCTAGAATCAGTAGCTAGTGAGAGCAAATGGACCATGGCAGCCCATGCTTAAAATTACTTAAAACACATAACACAACACTATTACAGCCTCTGTGTACTACTGCTGAAATATATACCTACAAGGCTGCATATCTGAGAGTGCAAAAACCAGGTAAAGATCTCCATCATTTCCCAAATCAGTGCTCACAAAGCATGTCCTCTTCAGCTCTTCTCAATGGAGAAAGTTCAATGAATCAATGAGATGGTACTCTCTTGCAATAAAATGGAGAACTCTGACTTTACGGTGAAAAGTGAGTGGTGACAGTATACTACCCAAACAGACAGTAGACAGTATAATACCCAAACAAAAAAAACTGAAATCCTTTTGGCCTCTTTGCCATAGGACAGATGTTTTCAAACTTCTGTGGTGGCCTACTGATTCAACACATTAATGTTGTGCAAGGAAAAAAAGTTGCAGATGGGTGCTTCTGCTCTCCTCATCTATAGAATTTTAAACCCCAACCAAGCAAGCAAAACAAAAAAACACTACCACCACCACCACCAACATATTTATTAGTAGAAAAAATAATGCCTCTCCTCACCCCTGTAGGTAGGTTAGGGCCTGGCGGCCGGAAGATATCACGCTGTACGGAAAGATAGGGCCCCCTGTTTAATAGCCAATAGTATGTAGCTTGTGATGTAAGCAGACAGAAGTGACCACCACCAACAACATATTTATTAGTAGAAAAAATAATGCCTCTCCTCACCCCAAATTCATAAACATTCTTACTCCCCTCAAATATATATGCAACAAGTTCATAACTCATAGCAGAATACAACAGAAAGTCCTTAGCTGTGCAAGGTTAAAATACTGAGGGGAAACAAAACTTGCAAGCAGATGACAGTATTGAGAATTCCTTTCCCTAGCTAATGAAAGAACTTGATCAGTACAACTGAAGCTGCAAGATTATTAATTTCTCATAAATGCATTGTTGACTTTCTAGAAGGTGCACAATTTTCTAAAGCGGTAACACTAAATCATATGAAATGTCTCCATTTGAGACACCTTATTCCTTTCCTACCTAGCACCACAGCATTAGAGGAGGCCTTCTGCCCCATCCCATAATTAAAAAACCTAACACCTATAAATTGAAAATCTCAATTCCCACAATTACACTCCTGAACAGCTGAATTAAATTAGCCAGTTCTCCTAAAGAAGTGTGTCCACCATAGGAATAAACCACTCTTTGGAAAGGCCCAGTGGGACCTTTTTGAATACCACATTTTAAAACTCCAGAAATCTCAGCAGAAAGGACAAGATATATTCTCATTACAGCAAATGTTTCATCAGGTACTGTATAAAAGGGGAACTGCAAAGATTTACAACCTGCATTAAAGCCAAGTATCAAAAGTCAATTTAGAAGCAAGTGTCACACAGTAAGTGAACTTAAACTGAACCAATATTGATACTGGGCTGTATGTACCAGCAGGGACATACCCAGATCAAGATAAACAAAGATTCTGCTTGGGTTTGTTTCTTTTTTTCTCTTTATTACCAAAAACCATCTTTGAACTAAGACCAGAACAGCCAACACAACCTGCCTTTAAAACACATCCACTCACTCAGATGACTCTCAAAGAGACTCCCGAGTTTCAGCAAGCTCAAGGAACTCCCACAGAAATGTAAGTGACCTCATCAGTGTCGAAATACCATAGCTAAAACATTTGAAGATGAGCATTTATTTTTCATATACACCTATGGGAAGAGTAACAAATGGAAGGAGGCATCAAACATGCCTTTTGAAAGATTCAAATACAATGTATGTACAGATTTTGGTTTTGAATGTACACAACTCAGACATCCACAACTGTACATAACTCTGAGTGAAGCCTGGATGTACACAATATGTCAGATGAGGTCTTCTTAGTATCTGTATTCTCACATTAGTTTTGTAATACATGTGTTTTATAACAGCTTTCTGGGACTGTTGATTATTATTCTACTGCCAGATTATTTAAAAAATGTTTTACAGTGATTTTTACATCTTTATAGTTAAATTATAAATCACATACACACAAATGCACATATCTTTATGGTTTCTCTTCAAGAAATGCTTTGATTTGGCTCAGCCTGAAGATTTCTTTTTTGACAATTCTTCACGATCTTTCCCGAGTTGTTTCAGATGACAAGCCCCACACTGCAAGCAATTACAAAGATGGAAACAAAACCTGAGCACTATCACTGCATACCTGCTACCCAGGGGAACACCTGAAAGCACTATCCACCTCACCTCATGCAAAGCCTTTTCTAAGAGCTGTGGTGATAGAGCTACCAGCTACTCACCATCACACACAATGAGGGCATAAATCATCTTGCAGAGAGGCCTGCCATGACTTTAAGCTGAGGCTGTCAGCTCCCTAACCCATCTTCCTCACAGAGCTTCTTTTCTTGCAGCTCCTTTACAATTCTGTTTTTATAACTGCTATGCAAGAGTTTCCTTTTGCTTGTGTTCATCTTTTGACACTACGGAGAAAAAAAAACAAACTAAGTTCTGGTGCCTTTTTTCTTTTTTAAATGAGAGGGTCAAACTAAGAGTCATGCCCATAAGGCAGGTGCACAGAATCAAGTTGGCTTGAACTAATTCCACTGTCTTTTGTTTGAAGACAAACAAAAGATAATGATAGCCCAACCCCCATACTTCTAATGGACATTAAACCTTTTTTTGGTTTTACCCACATTTATTTGTTCATGCATGCTCCTGCTTATGAAGGTATTAAATGGCCAGCCAACTCCTTGACCTTCCCCAGGTCTCTATAAGCAAAGTTTGCTTATACACATATTTGCTTATACACATATGTCTGTGTTCAAACACAATGTAAGTACACTCAAACTGCCTTCTACAATCTCACACAATAGACTGCCAGCAGCCTTACCCTCACATGCCTAAGAAAAAGGATATGAAAAAAGGAGATGACTGCAAATTACCTACAGGTCATCCAAGTGTGACTGACTACATCATTCCACTTGCAAGTAGCAGACATAGAGAGCAGGGAAAGAAAAAACGATATTGCATTACCTTTCTCAGGGGACAACTCAAGAAATTACATCCCAGTACTCTCTGCGTGATATTCTGACAAACAACACAATCCCACTTTCAAAGTCTTGCTCTGAATACCAGGAAACAGCCTTGCTAGGGAATGAGTAAGAGGAATACCTTGCATTGTTTCAAAACCACACAGGGGCCACAGGTTCTATACAAAATAGTCCCACTACAGCAAAAGGTTCAGACACTGAAAGAGGCTGATTATCATTTTGAGACCAGAAAGTGTATTTGTATATACACAGATTTTGCACACACCTGTGTGTATTTGCATACATAATGCAAATATGCTTTCCATAGTCAAATGCTGCTCACTTTCCCTGCATTCAAAGCAGCCACTCCAAGCATCAATGTAGGACAACATGAGCAAAACACCATTTAAACCAGCAGAATGCACAGCCAGGCCATTAGGAATTTGTGCTGCTGATTTCTAGAGGCACATACAGAGACAGCACATTCATTTTCTGTGCTGGGAACAACTATCCGATGCAGATCTCTCAAGCAAAACTGCCTACTGGAGAAAGCGTAATGCTGTCTACTAGCCAAGTATCTTCTATCGTTGCGAGTGTGACCTTTTTTGAGGTCATCAATGCTTCATATCCATTACTTTTTACCTAGTAAGTACCACTTTGTTAAAAAAGGTATTGTCATTTCAGGGATGGGTTTTTATTTTTTTTTCCTTTTTAAAAGTCTGCTGTTACCAAAGAGACCTATCCATGTTTCCAGTGT